AGAGTACAATGGGCAGTATTTCTTGAAAAAACGAAAAAAATATTTACAGGATAATGGGGTAGCACAAATCTTTTGAAAAGTAATATAAACTACTGTCTCTCATAGTGTGCTGCCATTTAAGAGTAGATGGTTCTATATTGCTGATACAGGGAAGTGAATTTTATGTAAATGCACTAATATAATGGGATTTCTTAATCCTGACTGGTGGAAGAAGATTTTCAAGCATATTTGCTGAAGTCATAGTCAATGTCATTAGACATAGTCAGCGACTGGAGAAACAGAATTTCTGGAAGAAAAAGAAAAGATACCGTTTTAGTGCTGTATAAATGAGTTGCACTATTTCAAGCTAATTCTGAAAACGAATAGTGGGACTCAGCAGGACTTTATACATATTATAAATGTTGAAATAATTTTGTTTTGTCAGTATATCCCCAAAAAATTGGTCTGGGCAGAATCCTTTCCTGGTTTGTTCTGTGATTGTGTTAAAATAACTAAAAACTATTAAAAAATCCCAAAAACAAATAAACAAAAAACCCCTACCACAACTCAAACTTTGAGAGAAAAAAAAAAGGCAGTAAAAATTGTTAAGAAATTTTAGGTTATTAGTGCTTTGGTGAGAAAACCTGCATATAAATGAAAAAAAAAGTTTCTGTGATAATTCAGTTTTAAAAACAGGTTTATCTTATGGTGTTGATTTTTGCTTTTTTGTGGTCTCATGGATGTTGCTTAAAGCATTTCCCTTAGTACCAGCATGTGTAATGTCTCCTTCAAGTATAGTCTCTGGTTCCTGGTACTTGCACCAGCTTTTCAGGCTTTCCATCATGTTGCAGCACCAATATTTATTCAGCCATGTATTCTCATCAGTGTCAGTTTTCTTTCAGATTTGTTTGGCTCTGGTTCCACAGTGATCTCCACAGATATTGTACCTGTAAGTATTCAAACATTTCAGCAATGTTTTCACCCTCGACCATGTGATGTGATGTCAGCACACATCTTCTTGATGGCATAAAAACATTCCTGTGCTAAGACATATGTAAATTGTGAATATTAGAATGGGAGAATAATATAGACATCATATATATAATCTTTCAGCAATAAAAACCAAGTAATATGACAAGTTTCTAAGGGTAAATATGATTTACCTGTTAAGAAGGGAGACATTTCAGAAACAGCAAAACAAAAACATTTTCAAATGAGCTAAATTTGACTTCTTGTTTTAGCCACTTAAATTATGTTCCAGAGGATAAATTGCTGGGATTTCAAAGTGTACCTAGTGTAAAAAATAAGGCATACTGATTTTAAAGCAGAACTAAGTATGCCCAGTGAAGATTCTATGTACATGATTTTGAAGATTTAGATGTATAGCAAAATAGCCTACAGATTCATGGCATAAACAGAGAAATTGTGCCACTTTCAAACATGTGAAAGACTTTGCCTTCTATTTTAAAAACGTTAACAAGTTTAGCTAAAATAATTCAGATGTCTCTTTATAACCAGTTGCAGCCAAACTGATAAGTTGCAGCAGATATTTTCCTGGCAAAATCATTTTAAGCATGTTTGCCAGTAGGTAGCTCTGAAAACATCTTGAAACTCAGCTTCTGCAAAATTTAGACAGCTCTCCCTGAAACACCAGTGAAAGGGTGCTGTCTCAGAGTGTATTCAACAATGGACCTAAGTGCCTGCCTATACTTCTTGTATTTTTTGTGCTGTTTTTCATATATCTATCTCTTCCCTTTTTTTTAATCGTGATAATTTTGCATGATGGCTCATTGTTTTTAAGCTTGTTCACCTAAAAGATGAGTGATCCAGAAGTATGGAACAGCAGGACTTGCCAAGATATAAATGAATAGAGCATGGCTTTACATGAAAGGGCTTCTGCCAGGTTTTCTACTGAAGTGTGCAGATTTAAAGCTGCGGATCAACGCCCTGCTCTGTGCACCCAGTGTTGTGTCACAATGCAGTGACAGTGACAAACTCCTCAGGAGACAAGCCCCTTTAAAATACTGTATGGAGGCACTCAGCAATAAAGGACAATTGCCTTCAACATCCAAGAACTATCAAGGACTTCTGAAGACTGATGACCAATATGGAATATCACTTTACAAACTTACTATACATCCTAAAGCTGTTGCCATGCTGAATTGCTGGGACTTTTTCTGGTTCAGGGATGTAACACTAGTTTGGCCCTCCACTATAGTTTCTGTAGAGTTATTCCCAGCAAGATTAATTTGTGTGAGCTCTCCAAATACAGCTAACTCGCTCACAACTAGCTTTAGGTCTCCAAGATATTGTGCCCATATATCTGCTATTGGAAAGCTCATAGCAGCTGGCAATCCATTGGCAGTTTCCTCAGGATTATAAAAAAATTCAAGCTGCATGATTCAATTACCAGAAGCAGTGGGAGAATATTTTATTTCTTCAGTCTTGGGCTTTTTTATGTTTTTTAGCCAGTGGCTCACTGTTATGTCATTCACTTTATGAAGGACAACACTGTTATATGGATGGCTTACTTTTAAGTTTTCTTCCAGGAAAAAGTTCCATAGCTGTAAAATCTCTAACCATCTGACTCATAGTCTGTTTTTCCCGTGCCCATGCTATACACAGAAGAGAACTGATGGTTGTAGAGCTGCTTTAAGATGAGTCATTACTTGTTTACTTATTCTTTAATAGTTTTGCCCAAATTTCAGTTTTTATCTGTTGCTCAGTTAGAGATTCCTGCCTAGTTTTCCTGATGTTCTTAATTTTAAATCTCTTCCAGCATTACAGCTCTCCAGATTTTTACCTGTTACCATCTGTTGGTTTTTTACCAAAATATTATTCATCTGTTTTCTAAATGGAATCTCATTGCAATATTCTGCTGGTGTTTCTAATCTTCCCAAGAACCCTTGAATTATTTCTCTATTTTCAGCACTGTGCTCAGCTCCTCCTAGTTTAATAGATCTGCAGATTTCATTAATGTACCATTTACTCCCTCTTCTAGCTCATTATTGAAGCTATTAAATGTGATCAGAAGTAATACTAATCTTTGTGTACTGCACTAAATGTCTCCCTTCAAAGTTATTGTTTATCATTACCCTTCATTGTTTGTCATCACCCTTCATTTCAGTCAACATGATAGTTCATTTCCAATTTGATTTAAGTTTGGGAACAGAATTTTGACACATTGGTGATGGGAGAAGAAAGGCTAATCAACAATCCAGGAGAGGCTTCTAATTAAGGCTGAATTTAGAGAATCAAATTTATGAGTTCTCTGCTGCAGCCACAGTGTAAGAGAGTATGGTGTCTCCATAATTTAATTGAAAACACCTTAGCCCCGTGATAAAATATCTTAAAGAATACAGTATATGGCTAAAAGTCAGACATATGACAGTATATCTTCTGCTCTCTATTCATTAATTTTGTATTACTATTTAAAAAATCAAGATTGTCTGGCAGATTTCAAAGTGTTTTAGTAAATTTGTTTCTCAATAGAGCAGTTTCTCTGCTCTATTATGTTGCCAGAGAGAGAAGCTAAATTTATGAGTAGCAATTACAAAAAGAAACTCACAGAAGATATGAACTTCTATCTTTGGCTGTTTCAGAGACATAGAGTCTTGCTTCCAAAGAAGGTATATCTTTCTTCTGGTCCATGTATAGTGTAAAATTTCAGGAACAATATTTTTATTTTCACCACCCCTTCAAAATTTAATTTCCAAACTCCATAGTAAATACTATTAATAATAGGAATAGGATATTTATAATAGGAAACATCAATTCAGTCAGGAAGATCTCCTTCTGACAAGATGCAATTGTTTTGATAATAAGCCCCACATGACTTGAAGTCCAACACCAAAATCTATTCTTCTTTCACCCTAATAAAATATCTTGCATTTTGTTAAGTTAGTTGCTAACCTGTATTATTAGGGCTGTTTACTCCTGCTTCTTATTGACTTGACAAAGAAATCTTTGTCCAAATACATTTTGATGTTGCTTCTTTTTTCTTATGCATACTTGGCTTGAGCTCATTCCATTACATGTGTGCCAGTGCAAATGCAAAGGCCTTAAATATAGTCTGGAAAAATGTTGCCTCTAGATAGAGCTTAATAATTCTCTTTAAGTTTTATACCTGTATGGATTGGGGAAAAGCATGGGACAGTGAAATACTGAAATTCACGTTGGGGCCAGATTATTTGTTAGATATGGGGAAAATTATCAGAGTAAGAAGGTGAGTGCATCCTAGAAGCCATGCAGAGGGTCTAATGAAGATTTAATTTCAAGTCACACCACTGCAGTAAGGAGTGGCTTATGAATACAGAAATACAACCAGAAGTGGTATCACAAATGTAGAATCTGGGTTGCCAGAAATGTTTCATCTTAGTTGCTATCAGTGCAGCTTCTCTGAATTTTGAAGCCCTGCATCTTTCAGAATCTCCCCACTTACCTGCCATAACCTGGTATCTCATTACTGTGAATCTGTCTTAACCTCTGAGGCAAATTTTGTTCACTCTCCCCCAGACTGCTTATGGAATATTTTCCTCCTACTCAATCTCTCTCAAAACCCATCTCTGTTGATTCCTGATAGGGAATCAGCAGTGACACTTTTTAGCTTTTTTTAATGCTTAAGCATTTTCAGAAAACTTTTTATTGGGTTTTTATTGTTACTATATCCTGTCTGCCCCTCTCCCCCTATTATTGGCTTACATTTTTATTATATCTCCTGTGAAATTGAATTGTATTATTCTCAGGGAAAAAATTTAATGTTACTTATATTTTCAAAGGTGCCTACCAGTAACATTTAATGATGTAAAAAATAATCATTATTACTCTGGTCGATTAATACTTATTCATCGTGATTTAAGGTGACCCTGGTGAGTTTTACTGGTAACTGTCCTTATCTTGCACATGAAAGCCTGAGTATGCAGCATCAACAAGAGAACATTGACTAGTTCATTTTATCAGGATTTGATCATCTGTATAATACACATGAAGGATATGCATGTTTGCCTAGACTATGTGTCAGCATGCGTTTTGGGAACAAATTAGTATGTGGTGCCTCATTTCCTCCTTTGTTCCTTTGTATTCAAGGGGCTTTTACCTTTCCTGTGAAAGCCACTTGAGGAAATATACTCCTGCTGTGAAAGCCCAAATTATTTTGCATTGCATCTGTACTGTCTGGTTCTGCAATATTCGTTTTGGAATTAAATAGCTTCCCTGTGTCTCTACAAAGAAATTTTTTTTTTTTCCCAAAGAAGTTGATTCTTTTATTGTGTGAATTCTTGGCAAAAGTATGTGCATTGACTGTATTAGTGGATTTCCGATGTATAGTAAGGTTCCTTATTTTCATCATCAAAGAAAATGTCAGTTACCTGTGTAATGCTTTGCAGAACTGGGTCCTCACCCAGAAAGATCTCACAGTCAAGAGAGTTAAGTGGAGTATAGGAGAAGAATAGTGGTGATTTATTACAGCAGTCCAATATGTGCCAATACTGACCTGGGCAAAAGCAATGTGGATGAAGTGTTAGAATAAATGGGGGAGAAGCACCAGTCAGTTTAAAAAAAAAAAAAAAAATTGCAGTAGTGCCATCTAGTGTGCCAGGTGGTGCAGTTTTCTGGAGAGGGACAGTAAACTACTTTCAACCCATCCCACTTGTTACCTGACTCTCCTCCTGCTGCTGCTCCCTTTTCAGTCCGCTGACAGGAGAGCAGTAACAGCATTGACAGAAGGTAGAGAAAGAGACCTGAGGGCTGTTTTGCAGATGCTGATTCTGGCACACGTGCCATAAAGTTGTCATTGCTGCTCTAAAAAAATGAGCATCCACGGGGTTTTAAAGAAGGAGAAAGATAGCTGTTCTGTCTGTACTCTCATACAAATCTTGCTCATCTACTCATTGGTTTCCACTGCAAAACATGTAATGGCTAAAATATCCTTTTTCAGCTACTGCAGGCACATTTTCTTGGTGTTGGAAGAGAAAAAAAAATTTTGATGCCAGAAGAGAAGAGGGGCTGCTGGTTTTTGATGCTTACTGGTGGAAATTATATTTTGCCTGGTGGCTAAAGGAATTACATTGAATAGGGGGTCCACAAACAAAGAACAAAGTTCTCTGTATGGGAGATGGGAGGTGAGAAGCAAGTGAAGGGAAAGAGGAATCTGTTTAGCATATTAATTTTTTGTATTAGGAGGAGCCCTTTTACTGTGACCACCCTAGTCTTTTCCACTGCTGCCTTTTCCACTTTCACTGGTAGCAAACTGAACCTCTCTGCTTTAATCCCAAGATATGCAAAGTGCATGACTTACCCTTCAGTGTGTGAAGCCGCACAGGGTTTATTTTTGTCTTCCATATAGAATCTGCTTGTAAAAAGCAGAAGAGTGATCAAGCCAGGAAGTGTTGTCTGCAAACGAAACCAACATCTCCACAGCACACGTAATGCTGTGTATTCACCTGTCCTCTGCAGCCGGTGCTGGAGGATATTGCTTTTCCAGTTGGATTTGCTTGGGGTGCAGCTACAGCAGCATATCAAATTGAAGGTGTCAATTTTTAGCTATCAAAGTGTTAAAGAAGTTTTAAGTTAACAAAAAGTCTGGACCCTGGAAGGAGAGTGTTCTTTGCCTTCTTATGTAGATACTACTGATGTAAATCCATGTAGCATTTCTGTATAAACACTTCTGACTTGAGGAGTAAGAAGAAGGTAAAAGATGTTTCAAATCTCAGAAATATGGCTAGGTAATGGAAATTGAGCTAGTTATTGGGGGGAGAGGGGTGGGGGGAGGAAGAAGCAGTCATAAGTAATTTTTCATCTACTTATTGCGTATATCATTTCTGTAGAGCTAGTTCCAGGAGATTGCTATTGGCTATTTTGAAACTGGGTGGGAGAATTACCTCATCAGACACCAGTACTCACAAGAAGTCTTCAGTTAGCAACTCATCTCCAAAGATTATGAAAAACAATGAACTGAGAGGTTAACAGTTGGACTTGTGGGGGCTGTCCCCCAGGGACATGTATCATGTTCCCACCTTGATAGAGAGACTGATGAAGGGATTTGCCCAGCACAATATGAAAATATGTTGCAGATTAGGAAATGTAAACACATAAACACAGGGACTTCTACAGCCATAACCCCTCCAAACTTTATTCTTTCATAAATCTGTCTTTATAAACCTTCAAAATACATATAGACCTGATTTTCTCATGTTATAGCCTGCAGCATACAGACACTTACCTCCCATTGATTTCAGTACCTAAATGGGAGTTGTAGATCCTAAATTGTCTTTGAGGATGTAGCCTTTAGTTCTTGGTTATTGCTGAAATTGAGAGTACTTGCCCATGCTCAGTACCTTTTAACGAGATAAGTTCACTTCACCTAATAGACTGAACAGCTCGCAGTTCCCAGGGAATCAATATTCTGGGCCAGATTCTAACTCAAGTCCTGCAATGCACACAGCTCTTCTAACTAATTTTTAAGATGTGAATTGTGTGTGCATTATAATTTCCTGCCTTTTGAGTGGCTAGATGTGCAACTCTAATGTTCTCTTAATGTATTTTTAATGAACTTTCTTAAGGCTTCTGAGTGGGGAAAACATAAAAAAAATCTATAATATGGTCTAGACACTACTCAAATGACCCTTTTCCTGCAGAAGTAAGAAACTCAACAGGGAATTCCTTCTCCTGAAAGCTTCAGGGGCTGTGCAGCTTCTGACTTAGAGGCAGAATGATTGAAGCAATAGTTCTTGTAGAGTCCAAACTCAGTTGCTGTGCATATCACAAGATACACAGTGGAAGAGGCACGAGCTGACAGGCTACTTTATTTTTTACTGGCAGCTATGTATTTATGCACAGCACAACCTTCTCCACTCTGTATATTTCAAAGCGCTAAAAAATCATACCAATTGTACTCTGCATGCTCAAAGTGCAGATTTCAAAGGTTCATGACTCAGTCAAATCAAAATCAATTTGCACCAGAACATTCAAAAGCACTTCTTCTTACTGAGGGCCATTTCTATGCTAAATTCTAACTCTCTGCTTGATTTTTTTTTCTTCTTTTTTTTTTATTTTTTTGGGGAAAAGTTGCAAAAAATTCTTGTAATAGTAAAAGTGTTTTTCTTCACTTCTTTCATATGCCAAATAATGGAACTGCATTAATTCAAACAAAATTACACTTTTTGGTCAGAGACCCAGTCAAGAAATTTTCACTCCCAAAGGTTAAAGGACAGCTGAATTAGAGGAAAAGTGTACTTGGAAAAGTACATGAAAACTTATATACTCTTATCAGTAATATTCCTGCTTTAGGAGCTTCACAAGTTGGAAAAGCATTACATTTCTTTCTGTTGTAATAATTGCAGAGTATGGGAAACATGCATCATAATAATTTATTTTATTCATTTGATGGCATGTCATGTACTGATTTGGTATCCAATTCACACCTAAGTATTTTGAGTGTAAAACCAGTTCCTCATCACTGTTCTTTCCTGGCCCCAAAGCTCACTAAAGCTCCAATTATGCCTACGCTATGGAGTGCTGCGTGGCATGCAAGTTTCTGAGCAAGCTTAGAGGTGCAAGCTTGGTTCATCGAAGCAGAGCAGAGCTCTCTGCAGACTAATTGTGGCTCAGCAGGATGTGTTAGTGTATCTAGAGCTTTCTGTTGCCTCGGCTGGATTCCTTCCTACACTCTATCAGGTGGCTCAGACGCACAATGCTTCACAGAGAAGTCTCTTTGAACAGTGTCAGGGATGCTTGAAAGTGGGTGTGATTGCTGCAGCCCCGTCAGGGCTTTGCAGTGGCTAATGACCGCTGGACTGGTACTGTTAGACTCTGCTGAAAATCAAATGCTTCTCCTCCTCCCTCCCACTACCTTTGCTGGAGGAAGGCAGACAAAAAAGAGGGATCATTCAGCCTCTGCTCTAGATGAGGATTCTTAACCGAAGGTGTGTTAACTGCCTGTTATGGCAGCTTTTTATTCCCTTCATTCCAGCTGCACTGAAAAAAGAGCACTATTGAATCAATATGGTGCAGGAAGCCTGCTCTTAAAGGCTTCAAAACTCTAGGTACCATCAAAGAATTGCTGTTATTTGTTATTTCCTGCACTTCTCTCAGATATTTCAGCAGTCATGTTTGAAATTTGAAGCAGGATATAGAAAACTTGTAGTATTGTATTTTTCTAAGGAGCATACAGACAGAGCTCCAAGTCTATAATAAAATCTGAGGTTAAGAAAAACTCAAACTGTCTGGATCTAAAATCTGACCTACTCTGAAGGTTGTCCCATGTAAAATTTAATTTACTGACCAACCAAATGTAGATGTATGGGTGTTCGTGTGCTGCAATAAAATTCCGTAAAGACCATGAAATGTGACAATGATCTCTGAAAAGCTAGGTTATAGAAGTGATATTACAGATTTTAGTAATGCTTTAAATTAAGTGTCTTCAATATGCTTAACCTTGCATTAAACTTAGATTTAATAAGACAGATGTATATTAAGTACTGAATATACTTAAGGGAGCAATCTTGCATTGGCAGGGGATGGACCCAATGACCTCCTAATAGTTCTTCTCCATCTCTAATTTCTATGATACTAATTGATTATTAAAACACTTTTATTGAGGATTGATATCTAGCTATTATATAGTTATTAATCTTATAACCCAACTGATATTTAATTTATACATAATTTTAACACACAATGTCATTTTAGTTTTTAAAGAATAACCCTGGAACATTGCATTCATTGGGACTCTGAAAAATCTTGGTGGTAAATGAGGTTGGCCATTTTGAGGTTAATTGCAATTTAATGATTAAATCACATTTTACAGGGGTTTACGGAAGAAAGTAAGTTTACAGATCTCTCCACAAAAAAAATGTAATGTTTGCCTCAGCTATAGCATGGCTCAGGAAAGACAAAGAAACTTCTAATGAAGAGAGGTGCATTTATTCAAATTAAATATTATATGTTGTTAGGTCTCAGACAACAGCTAAACTTTGAATATTTTAATGGTAATCTGTGTATCTCAATTTTAGAATTGTGAAGAAATATCCTAAAACTCTGAAAGTTTTATTTTCAGAGGAGAAAATGGTGCAGTGCTTTTGAACATTCAAAATTAATTTCTGTGAATGTCTGGCTAAACAAAAAGCTGAAGTTTTTTAGAGCTGTGTTATTAATTCAGCTTGTATATGCCTAGGGCCATGGCTCATAATGGCATTCCTTTCTTTTTAACAAACTGTCAAGATTTTCAAAGGACATCCTGAAAGCCGTAAGTGCCTATTTGTTGGATGTATTTCTCATACCCTAAAGGCTTTCTTTGATATGGACTGATCTTTTACATTTATGGATGGAAGTAGCATTAGAAAATGCCCTTTGTGAAAACCTGTAATATCTCAAGAGTGGCAAACATCTGATTTTTGGCTAAGGAAATATGAAGAGTGTTAGAAGTCTGAATGTTTTTTTAAAACATAATTTTCAAATAATTAGCAGCAAGTAAAAATATGAATAAATGCAAAACCTAATGAAAATGTATATTAATGCTTGAAAGTTCCCAGTTACTTTAAAGAATATAAGGAGTGGGTAGAGAATACTTCTCAATTTGCCCATGGGATTTGCACCTACTTTGTGATAAATTATTTATTTGCAACATATGTCTTTTGATGTCAAAAGTGTAATGACCAAGTTTTGTTTTTCAAGCAGAAGGTTGGAATGCAGATGGAAAGGGCCCTAATGTCTGGGACATATTCACTCATCAGGGAGGAGATCGAGTTTTCAAGAACCAGACTGGTGATGTAGCTTGTGGCAGATACACTCTGTGGGAGGAAGATTTGAAATGTATCAAACAGCTTGGATTGACTCATTATTGCTTTTCTCTTTCCTGGTCACGTCTGTTACCTGATGGGACGACAGGTTTCATCAACCAGAAAGGCAATTGTTTCTCAAAAATAGAAGGTTGCATCTTTAATTCAAGGTTATTGCTGCAGTCTGGCATAATTAATCCAGTATGCTATTCTGCAGTGTAGCTTTGAAATTGCAACTTTTTTTCAGAGTAATTATAGAATGATTTTTTATAGGTTTGCAACAACTTACTAATTAATATTCTAGATCCCCTTGGATAGCACAATCTTTTGGGATAGGATTATTATTATGTTTCCTATGTATCTTTTTGCTTACTCCAGTTTTTTTAATTGTAACTCTAAATCATTTTGCTTCATCAGAATGTTTATACTTACTGGGATCCTAGCCATGAGAATATTTTTGGATGGCTTACAACAGACAAGTTATCTCATTTGGCAAGTGCATTTAGATAGCTTATCAGTATACTCCAATGTGCTGAACTTCACATTGACTATTTTGCACTAAGGGACATACTTTTCCCAGACATTTTTCTTTAGCATATTAGAGAGGATTCTTCAGACTGATAGGAACTATGCTTAGTTCTCTGGCAAACAGAAGCTCTGAAAGAAGAGTTATCACAGTCTCATTAGGCAGTGTGTATGTGTAAAGGGGTACAGCACATAAGTAAACTGGTCAGATTGCTAGAAGTCAGACATAAAATTTGTTTCACTTCTGATTACTTTACTTTAATTCCATTGGTGTGGTCTGGGGGAGAGCTTAAGGTCACTCACTAGGAGAAGACAGGAAAGGGCAGTTGTGCGTACAGAACAGAGGGAATGGAAGAAAGATGAAATAAAGAGAATTGAGAAGAATAAAAGCAACTGAAGCTGAACCAGAAACAATGGGAGAATCAAAGAAGCTGGCTGAGATTTCTTGTATGCTGGGAGGATAATGTTCCAAGGAGAAAAAAAAGAAAAGTATATTTGAATGAACTTCTAAATCTCAATTCTGCTTCCTACTCTTCTACATCTCAGTTCAACCAAGAAGTTATATCTTTATACTTCTAGGGCACTATTTGCCTTAGCAAATTGAAGACTGCAAAGATGGAAGGCTGCAAAGGATAGGACTTCTTAGAAAATACTCTTCAGGTTAACCTTATCTGTACTAGGGTGGTACCAGCAGAAGCAATCTTTTCCTGCAGAATTTTGGTCATGTAGAACTTGGCTGTTCAGTAGACAGCAGCCTATCCTCTGCATCCTGCAGATCAAGGTTTTCACCAGAGAGTGGAGGAGCCTTTATTTCAAGATTTCAGAAAAGAGAAGCTGGTAAATCTGCTGTAAACAGACCAACCAGCCATTTTTCCCTGCAGAGCATGCCAGATACATATGCCAGTATCCCAGAGAGGCTTGAATTGAATCTTTTTCTTTGCCACCAAAATTTACAATACATGGCCCACTTTCACTGGCACAGCTTGTGTTTCCCTCAGAATGCTTTTTGTGGTGTGTTGAATTTAAATTTGGCTGAGTAGTTGTGGTTTCTTTCCTCTACTGATATTCCTTCAGCTAGGGCTGCAGGCACTGCAAAACCTCAGCAAGCTGCCTGCTGAATGGGCTTTGTTATTTAGTTGTCAGAGTGGGAGATAGCAAGCAGACATTCTGAATGCACTTGGTAAGGAAAGCTAACATTTTGACAAAACTCAGCTGTAATTTCTGAAAATGTTCACTTGATCCCCAGTATAAGCAGTTGCCTGATTAATATTATGAACTTTACATTTAACGAAAGGGCATTGGCAGAACTCCAAGTAGGCCAACTTTCATTAGGCAGGAGTTCACTTCTCCTGTGCAGTGATCTGTTGAAGCAATTGTAACTGCATAGCATGGAAAGGCCATCATCTTCTATATAAACATTTTTGCAAAGAGCATGTGAAGAATTAGAAAGCTTAAAGCAATGTCCTTTCAAATAAAATCATTCATAGCAACTGATTCACTACCAATTTCACACCTAAGATGTAGGACATTTGAAAACCTTTAAAACTATTCTGTTTCTGAACTTGGTGGAGGTAGAGACTTTTAAAGCAGTGATGTTGTAGATGTATTGTTCCTAAGATGTGTCAGGTTTTAGCTTAAAGCTTACAATTATTTTTACCCTAGAAGGTGCCCTGAGAAGAACAAGTGAGCTGCTAAACATTAGGAGTCAGTGCAGAAGAAGACAGAAGTAGGCAAGGGGATATTGAGTCTGTGAGAATGTGATGTTATGCCTCACTTCAGCATGAAGGCAGGGAATCAGAATGGGGAGAGAAGATGATAGAAAGGAGAAAAGGACAATCCTTCACTTTCTACTGGCCAACTGCTCCTTAATGTCTGGAACCGCAAAATTTTGGGGTTTCCCCACAAAACTCTTATATACATACTTCCATTTTCTTCTGTATTTCTACTTCTACCTGACTCAAAGATACATCCAGAGAAGCTAAGTCAGCCTACTCTAGAAGGTATGAGACAACCTGGAAATTTGACTTGACATTCACATTTTTCAGGCACACAGTTCTATTTCACTTCATTTTCTAACAAAAGGCATAAATCTTTTCCAATATAGGTGTTTAATTGAGATGTAAAAAATAAATGATAGCTGGTTGCACTTAGATGTTATAAATTGTACTGTATAATTCATAATCTGAAAATTAGGATGAGAAATGTTAGTGTCTTCTACATAGGGGTTGAATATGAGAGGACAGGATCCCACAGCAGCAAAGGAGCTCTTTTTTCCCAGTTTAAGCTTGTGTAGTAAACCTTGTAGTCTCATCAGCAAAGAGTTAGCACACACCCAGTCCCTCTGAAGACAAATAGAACCCCATTCAAAAATTGGAGAGTGAAGATGTATTTGCTGCTAATTGCTATTGCAAAATGCAAGAATTTGCTTTTCAAAATTTAAGTTCTAGTATATTCCTTTCTCTTTTGAATGGGTGCATTCTCAGGCACAGGCACGTTTCTCCTCTGAATTTAATGAGTTTTCCTGGTGCTGTATTCAGAAGGAAAAGCAAACTACATCTGAGATTTATTGTGAATTACTGTGTAAACAATCTTATTGAGTCTTGCTGTGCTAAGGGATGTGTATGCACCTGTTTGTTCAGGAGAAGTCACTGTCTAAATCTGGGGTTCATAATTGATTGCTGCAGTAAATGTTGTCTTAAAAAAGCTATTTGGCAGGAATCCCTAAGATCAGTCATTTGAAGTTGGATTAAGTTGAAGTCTAATACTGTCCTTTTAAGAAGAAGATATGGCATTCTGTGTTGGCATTTTCAAACATCAATACACAGTAAGCTGAACCTGAAAATACCAAGGAATATATAATAGAAGTATAGAACAAATTTCCTGCTTTGGATTAAACAAAGTATTCTGGTTCATAAACTGTTAAGAATAATGATCTAAGCCATACATAACCTCCTAAGCATACCTTTTATTAACCTTAGCAATTTAGTCTTCGCCCTCCTACTTTTTGCTGTGTTTTCTACTTCTGTAGACATTTCCCAGTTCTATGTTTCAATACTGCAATAATCGGATAGATATTTCACAAGCATCTATGTCTTAGGATATGTGGTAGTCTAAGACCCACAAAAATTTTATGAAATTTAGGTTTCTGATGTTATTAAACACTTTAGTATATTTATACTAAAGTATATTTAGTTCAAGTATCTGAAGCAAAGACTGCCTGATTTCTACATTCCAGCAGCATGGGAGAGACCTAGTCCTGCCTGGAGCCTCTTAGCTTAACAAATAATAATTCATGGCCACTGTTGGCCTTTTCCAATTACTGCAGTAAACCAGATAGTTCAAGTAAAAGAGCAAGCTAATTGATACTCTTTGAACCAGAGCTTATGATGTGTATTTCAATATCTAGTGTTTTCAGAAAGTTTAAAAGCAATACAGTTGTGTTTGCATGTAAGCAAAATTAAAAATGCCTATTTGAGAGCTCAAAGTACCCTGATATTTAAACTTACAGTGACCTCTCAGCAATGTAAAAATTGTCCTTTAGGAAACATATTCATGTCAGCCACTGCTAAATCTGCACAGAAGGTGAATTCCTTTTAAGCCTCTAGAAATACATCCCCAGTACTGACCAGCTTTAACAACACATCCAGGAAATTAAAGTTGATCTCTGTCTTAGCAAGAGGGGACAAGAAAGGTTAGAAGTCATGAGCTTTTAGAGAGGTCAGCTAATTCCTTCTTGCAGTTAGAAGGACTGAGCTGTCTGCAGCAGTGGCAGTGTAAAAGGGTAAGAGATGGTTTCTCAGATAGGCTATTGTCAAGCCATTCAGGTGGGTGGCTAAAGAGACCAGTGCCTCAAACTCCTAAAATCTCATAGAAGCCAATGAAAAGCCTTAAATATAATATAGATCTAATGAGTGAAATGTTGAATTCACACCGTTGCAAAATGTTGAATACACTGACAGTGTCCTGATGCTGGCATGGTGATGGAGAATGGAACATTCTGGAGGAAACAGCTAACCAAGTTCAAAACATAAAAGATCAGCTTAGTTACCTTGCTGAGTGTGGCACTGAAGTTTTTAAAAGACACAGTTCTCAAGGACAAAAATGCTTTCATTAGAAAATTCTACCTGGAAGGCTCTCAAGCATCAGGCTTTTTCCAACACGCTTGTATCTTGCACATGCAGTCAGGCTGCCATTCAGGCATTTAAATGAAAGGATTATATTTTCATGTGACCAGCACCCATCAGAATTATGTTTTTCCTGGGGAGTTGCTGTCCACTGATCTATTTTGAAAATTTGCATCCTCATTTCATTTTATGTGCCTGGTTGGAAGATTTTGTGTACTGAGCATTTTTGCCAACTCTGGGGTCTTGTAACAGTAGTCAGCATGCACTTGAGAGAAAATATTTGCATCTCATAATAGAGAAAATATGCAGTGATGTTACTTCAAGTGTTAAAATGTAGCAAAATTATTATTAACCCTTTTTTGTTTCCTTTTATATTTTCAGCAGTCAATTCTTACTGCAAAACTATTATGGACCTGGGAAATGGCATCCTACTCCCTGTATCAGTTTGGTTTGCCTTAATCCTTAAAAAACAGAGGTGACTGAAAATCTGAAAGTATCATTGACACCATCGATATTCATGTAAATTATTGCTTCAGAACATTTGGAGATTGGGTGATCATTACTACATGGGCCTTATGTTGCTTTAGGTGGTTGTTTAAAAGGTATAGCCCCAGTATTGGTGCCAGAGCTTACAAGGCACTTTTAATGTGTAAAAACTACTGCTAAACCCTGATGCAGTTGTGGTAACATTTGGAGAAAACATTGTAGACTTGTGTCTATAGCACAGATTGATAGAACCTCTATGAATTCTGCAGAAGATTTCTTAGGAGCCCATCTAGATGGCATAAGACATTGTACAAGATATAAATAAACAAGTCACCTTGGGATTTGTAATTTAATTTTTTCACGCTGGCTATAGAGAGTAGGAGCCTTAGTGTTTTCCTATTACCTTTTTACTTGATATCTGTTTTACTATTTGAAATGACACACCAGTGTTTTATCATCTTTTGATCTCCAGAAATTATCTTTGTGATGCTAGCAGTAAGGCTTTCCTGGCATACATCTACTCCTGGCAAGGAGAATTGTGGTGACTGCCAGTACCAAGGGTTAAGGAGCAGTGACAATAAGCAGATGCTAATGCAGGAAAGATATTTTAGTCTTCTCATTAAAATAAGTCATTTCACTGTCTTCATGGGTATTTGCACAGTTTTGCTTTTCTATTGTTAGTCATAAAAGGTCACTTCATGGAAAATTAAGTTAATAGGGTCAGTGCAATTTGATGAAAACTAGTTTTAGTTTGTAGCTTAGAAAAGATAGAGGGTAATGCATCTGATTTTATGGGCTTTCTTACATCTGTTCTGAATAAAACTTTTGCTCTCTCTTGTTCTAGGATACATATAATAACCCTATAATTTACATCACTGAGAATGGGTTTTTACAAAGTGACCCTGCTCTACTTGATGCCAGTCAATTATGAGAGTATTTCAGACTGATTTTACAGAAAATTTTAAAAGTCAACATTTGAAATGATGAAAGATCAGTTGTGTAAACCTAATATAATTTTATTCTGTGCTTATTTGCATTCAGCAATGACTACTGATTCTTGAAGCTAAAACTTATGTAAATCAAAGTAAAGTGATGTGATTTGAAAAAAAGTTTAGCTGAAAGGAAAACAAATAAATTTAATCTTGGTGTGGAAGCAAAAGAAAAGGTGCCCCATATATACATTGTTCCTAAACTTATTTTGTAAGGTCAAAGTTCTTTGTTGAGCAGAGCAACCATGTTAAAAAGTGCTTATCATTAATGCTTCTTATTGTGCAGGATGTAAAGTTGAGTGCACCTAAAAATCTGACCATTGCATCTCATTATATCCTTACAGAATACAACCTCACGCACACAGTTAGGTCTGTGTAACAGCTAATTCCTGTACACAGCCATTAAGTCATTATAAATCAGCTTCTGCCTCTGTGTCAAGGTGGTCAAAACTGTTCAACACTGGCAAAGCTCTGTTTTTATGCTTTACCTATAGTTTTTGTATTGGCCCCATTTCCAACCTTCTGGAAATTCCTTCTTTACCTCTTTTCTTTTGGTAATATTCTCTATAGTAATTTACTGGAAGTAGATCTTCTCACTATGTAGCAAGTGAAATGCTTTTTAAGATGGTTCATTTAGATAAGAGCTATTTATTGTATTTGTCCAAAGTGATCACAGTCATGAAAGTCATATCATAGTTCAATAATTTTTTGTGGCCACTTTTACATTGTCGTGCTTAATTTTTACTTTTGTTGTTTGAATTCTTTATTTTATCCTTACTTTTGTTAAAAAACAGTTTTTTGTTAAAAAACTGTTTCACTTAAAAGCTGTCTTTCTATCTTCTTCCTTTTTAATTTAGACTTGCAATTATGCAAAAATCCATGCCAGATACCTATTTTTCTACAGCTAAATACATGATGCACAGGAACTTTTTCCAGCACTGAAACCAATTGATAGGTTCTCTTTCTATCAGAAGCAGACTGGTCATCTACCAGCTGTCTTTGGAGAGCACCTCCTGGGCTGTTCCATTTCTGACCCCAAGCCATGTCTGGAAGCTAGTTGGCATTGGACAACAGTTTTATCAAGGGGTTTTGTTTACTTTTAGGTTTGTAGACAAGATATCTGGATTTTACTTTCTCTGAAGATGCAAAGAAATTAAGAAACACAGAATTCTCACTGTTCAATGAAATGGAATTCATTTACCAAATCTAGTTGTTTTGACAATGTTTTAGAATGTACAATGGCTTTTCCTGAAGTAAATATTTAGGGTAGGTCTGATGAATCCCACTGTAATGCATTTGTTGACACAGTTCTCTTTATGCATAGTAACAAATAAATGGGACTAGCTTGGAGGTAGGTGCTTATTGGAAGACACGAAGAGTTGAGTAAAATTTGCCTTTACCATTTTTTCAGTCCAAAACTACTTTTAAATGTGTATGTGGTCTGAGTCTAATCAGTGCAACCTTACACAGGTTTAGTTATATATGCAGGTTGGCATTGAGTTTATAATTTTATCCAGTAAAATAACATGGTGGAATGCTGGCAGAAATGGGTCCCTCAGTGTGAAGATAATATAGCTCTTAAACCCATCAGCTACAGGCACTCTATGAAGAAATGTCAGTAACATTATCCCCATGTGACTTTGTGCCCACTACTCTGAGTAAACAGTTTGTCAAGGCCACTCCACATGTAATGACCCACGAATGAACAATCCATTTCAAGTTTTCAGCTCAGATTGATGCAAAGCAGGATACTTAAAGATGTTCACTTTATTCAGTGCTTAAGTGCTTAACCATTTATTAAGTGTTACATGAAGCATAACAGTTTAATTGCTTTGCATACAGTGTCTACTCTGTGATAATTCCTTATCTTTTGAGCTAAATTTTGAAATTATTAGTACATACTCATTCATGCAAGGGCCATTGAGTCATGACAGGAGACTGTGCAGATTCTGCTGTGGGACTTATACATCTACTTTTTTGACTAACCAAGAAATAAACATGCGTGACTACAAAGAAGAGTGTATCTACAATTTGTTACTGCAGTTGTTATGAGAAATATTTTAGTATGTTGCAATTAGATTGATAGTATCACCATTTAATTTTTTTTTAATTAAAACCCTTCCTAACTTTTAAGATATGTATTTACACTGGTTATCTTAGTTTTGTCATCCAAAACTTTCAAAATAACAAAGATCTTCCATTTTCAAGATCTTGTGTTGTGGAAAGAGTTATGCTCCAATACTCTGAAAATCAGAGCACTTCAGCATCTCTCAAGCTACATGTCCCAAATTCCTAAAATTTTTTCTGTCATCAGGACCATTTACATGATTTGGGAGGGCAGGAGCAGTCCTGAATTGGTAAATCAATAATGTCAGAGAAATTAGAGATTTTTTTATTTTTTAGTTAGTTACAAAGACCAGAATAAGCAACGTAAATACGAACTGGGAAATAGAGAGCAGCATGCAGCTGCTATAAATCATATCATTGCTATTATAAATGCGTACAACTGCTGCCATGTTGCTCCTGCAATATATGAATAGATAAAACATCAATATTTTAAGAAATGTGGATATACATATTTAGCGCCTCAACAGAGCCATAAGCATGCATGGTGCTTTACAGATAAATGAAAGTGATGTTTTCTTACCCCAAGGAACTGAAAATCTAATTTAGATACAATGCATGAAGCGATGACGAACAAAAATCTGGATGAGAGGTAAAAAGAGAACATGGGTCAGAGTAGTCAAATGCTTTTTACTACAGTTGCTCTTTCTTGATTTTATGTAATGTATGTTAAGGATGACACGTAGGCCAAAGATCAAGGCTGCCAAAAAAGAAAAAAAAAGTTATTTGAAATCAAGTCTTCCAAAAAAGAAAAAAAGGTATTTGAAAGTACTTAGTTTTGAAAAGTGAAACCTTCTAAGAAAGATAATGTAGTTTTATAAAGTCTGTAGGGGAAAGCAGTGCAAATATGGGTAAACTATTGCCAGCTGATGGAGAAGAGCAATGAAGGTATTCCATAGTCTGGCTGGTAAAAGATTACTAATAATGCTGATAGGGAGGAAAAAATGAATAAAATGAGTTTTAGGTCGCAGAGTGCAGCAAGAGGTAGGTCCTGGAAGTTAGTAGAAACAGAAAGTAAAGAAATTGAGGATGATGTGATGTGATATGAGCAGAGGCAAATAAGAGGGGGATGAGCAAGAATAAATGTGAACAAGCAGGACTAGATTTGAAAGTAACTAGGAAACATATGAACATTTAATTTGGATTCAGCTAGAAGGTCAGCAGTAAAAGATGCAGGGCAAAAAGGAGAAATGATTGTGAGGAGAAAAGGATGGGTAAAGCTTAAGATTTAGATGGTGTTAATTTTCTCCTTAAATATGCTTGAATGAAGCAGAAGAGAAAATGAGATACAGAGAATGCTGACTGTAATGGGAAGTGCAGAGCAGAACTAGAACTGACAGTAAGCAAGGTGGTGCAGTTAAGATTTTAAAAATTGAACTTTAAGTTAAATGCAGTCCCTCCTGGATAGATTTTTGTGTCCTTTTCCCCTCAGACTTCTAAGAATTGTTATAAAACCTTTATTTATTGTTGTCACTGTACACTCCAACCTTGCTCTCATGAACTAACCATTTAGTCTGTGTTGTAGATACGTACAAGCCTGCTTTTGCTGCATTCCCTTGCACATAAAACAGTGAGGTTATAATGCAATACTCTAGTCCATGAAAATATGATTTATTGTTAAATTAAATATGAATGTCATAATGCGAGCCCCTTGGGTCAACTATAAGCTTGAATGTTATTGAAAGAGCTGCAGCAGCAGCTCTGTTTCTTCATTGCTGCTGACAAAAATGCCTCTACAAATAGAATACAACAATGGAGACATATTAAGGAGTCTCTGAGATGTGCTGTCCCTGGCATAACATTGCCATGTGACATTTTCAAGAACTATAAATACATTGACTGCATTATAGTGTAAAAGTTAAGAAGCTTTGCAGTAGTCACTGCAGAAGCATTAAAATCAAGCTGAATTTGTTGTGAATACCATGAGGAATTCAAAGCTTTTGAAAACACAAACCAACACAAAAAAAAAAAAAAATAAACAACAGAAACTCCTAAAATCATAAAGATATAACTGGGATAGTACAATATTTTTATCAGTTTTTAGTGTAATTTTAAAAGGTCCAGAAGACACAAGTCTGATTCCATAAAGTTCCAGTTAAATGCCAGTATTATAAGTCCCCGTTGTGACAAGAGCAGATATAATTTCTTAGAAAAAGTATCTGAGACAGTTTAGAGAATAGAAGTTGTAGTTACCACTTTGTAGCAATATTTGCTTGTTAGTCAAAGTTTATATATAATTTTTTCCACATTAATCCTTTAATCTGAATGGTTTAACCTGTGAAAATGAGCTTTTTTTTTTTTTTTTAACTCTTAACCAGCAGTTTTGCAGTGCAAATTTATGAAAGAACATTTTCTTTCTCCAAAATGTCCTGTAATCTGCCATCAAAATTATCTTCAGTGAAAAAATACCCCACAGTTGTGAGCTTGTGAGTTTGTGTTGGGAAACTTTCTACTGGAATTAGGGTAATAGAAGCCTGGCCAGTGCAACAGAACAGGATCTCTGAAACAAATTTATGTGAGTGAATTTCTTCATTGCCATTCTCTTGATTTTGATTTAAAAAAAAAAAAGAAACTAAAGGACAGATTTATGCATTAGCTGCTAAAAGTCTCTGGATTGATCAGCTTGCCCCGGGGGAAGGACTGTGATACACAGAAGCTTTGTGTGCAGTGTTAGAAAGAGAGCTAGACTGAGTGGTGCAGCAGCTTGTTCAAGTTTTGGGGAACTGGGATCTAGCCAGTATTTCACATCCTCACACAGTACCTGGGATGTGCTTTGATTCAGAAGTAACCAGCCCCTAGTGAACTTAGTTTTCAAAAGCATTAGCAAGTGCAGAGCAAGAATAGCTCCTGCTCTGTAGAGGAGATCCAGTGTAGGAGGCTTCAGTTCCCTCCGAGAGGATAACCTCAGTAATTAGGCACTATGGATGTTGTACTACTGCTAGATAGCTCATGATTAAGTCCCTGCTAGAAACCCCTTCAGAGGATCAGCTTTGTTACAGACATATTATTTTCTTTGCTTAGCAGTACTACAGGATTGTTGAAGTAAAATTCAGGAGTTTTCATTTTTGCTGCTGTTTGCCTTAGTTGTGCAAGCAAAAACTGGGGATCTCAACAGCTAACCAGTTTCTAATCTCCAAATCACACCTAGGTGGCCAAAAAGTTAGAGGCAACTATGTTTATCTGCA